TAACCAGCCCCGCCGACGGGTACACAAGGTGAGCCCTCAGCAACCCCACGGTTATCGGAGTACCCCCTCCGTTAGTCGGCAGTCCAGGGCACTGTGTGTTCGAGTGGATCGCAACGTCATTTTGCCACCGCCACTCCACCATAGCGACGAGCTCAATTTTCTAATGCCAGTCGTACGTGATTCCCACATTCTTGGTCTTCAGTAGGTAGCAAACTACCCTGATACCAGTATTTCAATGCTTCTGTTCGGGGCTCTCCAAGAAACAACTCAACTGAGTAACAGTGATCGAGATGTCAGTCCGTGTACCACATACTAGGTACATTAGACTGCCAACGAGCGAACGGTACGGCATAGAACTCATCCTGGCGTTGCCGTCTTCAGTATGGGGTTGGGCAGCCTTGGTCAGATGAACTTCACCTATCAGTGCAGTGAGGCACAGCTTTGCCTTCTCCTGTTCGAATCGTTTGATGATCGACTCTTGATATCTTGGTTGGCTAATACAAAGAGTCTTGCACTCCATGTTGTAGTCAATCTTGATTGCGAGGATGAAGCGTGTTCGTTCGAGGTATTCGATCTTGAAAATTTTCCGCGATCCCATCCTTCACCGAAGTGACGATGGCCTTCACCTTTGCGACAACCAGCATATCGTCGACATAGAGACGCACTACGCACTCGTTGTCGCCCCCACCTCTCGTGTATACACACGGATCCTCATGGTTTGCCTTGAATCCCATCTCAATGAGGTGGCTGTCAACGGTCTAGTTCCAAAAACGAGACGCTTGCTTGAGTCCGTAGAGACTTTGAAGCAGCCGACACACGACGTCCCTCACCTTCAACCTCAGCCAAACTGAGTAGCTCTAGGAGTCCTTCAGGCAACTCCATGTAGATCTCCTCATTTATTTTCCCATACAGGAATACCATCTTGACTTCGCACTGCTCGATTTCCAAGCCATCAGCAGCGCACTTTGCCAGTTTGGCACGGATCGAATTGAGGTATACCACCGGCGCGTACCTCTATTTGTACTCGATGCCAAGATTTTGTGATAATCCCTTGGCAACAAGACGAGTCTTATGCCAAATGACTTGCCCTTTATCGTCGTGCTTCAACGCAAATACCTAGCAACACCGATTGGACGTTTGGGTGCTGGTCTTGGCACCAGCTTCCAGGTTTTGTTCGCCGTGAGCGACTCCAATTCACTTGCTAATGCCTTTTTCCACTCGCCCCTATCACCACAAGTTGTTGCCTCGGTATTCGACTTCGGAATGGCTTCGGTACCTGCTATCTCTTGGCCACCATCGTAGATAGTCAGGTGTTGGTTGTTGGCAATCGAACGCCCTTTAGTCATTCATTGATGCTCTCTCCCGACCTCGCACGATGCCACCACTTCCTTTTTCCTCGCTCCCCGTCGTTTCGTCAATGTGACGTTTTCTCGAGCACGCAATCATGGGATGGGTCGAACCATACGGCACGATCCAGTTGGTTATGTGGTGGAGTGGGATTCGCAAAATCGCGTTGCGATCCACTCGAACACACAGTGCCCTGGACTGCCGACT